GGCTGGGGATTCGAACCCGCCACCTTAGGTGTATGTGGCTGGCGCCTTAGCCACTTGAGCCACAGGCACCAAGCCAAGAATGTAGTTTTTAAGGGTACATGTGAATCTTTCTAAATGTCGAATATAAATGTCTTAACACAACAATTATGACAATGATATGATGGCTATGTTGGCCAATTGGATAAAAGTATTTCAAGTTGTATATGGAAACAACACACTGTATCCCATGATAGTATTAATGTGCACAAATATGATTTAATAAAAAAAGTAGTTTTTAAATTAATTAATTAAGATTTTAGGAGGCAGAGGCTTACTCTGTTGCCCTGGGTAGAGTGCTATGGCATCATCAAAGCTCACAGCAACCTCAAACTCTTGGGCTTACGTGATCCTCTTGCCTCAGCCTCCAGGGTAACTGGGACTATAGATGCTTGCTACAATGCCCAGCTAGTTTTCCTATTTTTAGTAGAGATGAGGTCATCCTCTCGCTCAGGCTGGTCTCAAACTCCTGAGCTCAAGTGATCCACCTGCCTACACCTTCCAAAAGGCTAGGATTACAGGCAGGGGGCCACCATGCCCAGGGTGAATGTAGTTTTTAGATGTACTTTAATAAAAGAACATTTTGGATAATAAAAAACCTTTAAAATTCTTTAGAATCATTTTTCTTAATATGTTCCTTTTTTTATTTGATAGCAATCTTTTATTTTACTTTATAATTTAAAAGATCTGCTAAATATAATTGCTTAATAAACTAAGATAAAATAACATATGCAAAAAACTCATCTGGAGATATAAACAATATATGTATATATTTCCCCTTTCTTATGAGCTACTTAAGTAACATTTAAAGTATATATTAAATTCTGGCCAGGTGTGGTAGCTCAGACTTATAATCCTAGCACTCTGGGAGGCTGAGGCACATTGATTCCTTGACCTCAGGAGTTCGAGACAAGCCTAAGCAACTGAGAGACCCTATCTCTACTAAAAATAGAAAAACTAACCAGGCATTGTGGCAGGTGCCTGTAGTCTTAGCTACTTGGGAGGCTGAAGCAAGAGGATTGCTTGAACCCAGGAGTTGGAGGTTGTTAGCTATCATTCCATGGCACTCTACCCAGGGGGACAGAGTAAGACTCTGTCTTTAACAAACAAACAATATATATGTATGTGTGTGCATGTATACATACATATATAATTACATTTTAAAATTACACATATGTAGAAAGAACAACATGGCAGCTAGTTTTGGGACATTTTACATTTCACATGCCTATTCAAAAGAATTGGTTATTAGAATTACAGCCTTCAATTTTATTCAGTATATTTCTAAATTTTATTACTTTCCATAATTTTTCTTTCTTTTTTTTGAGACAGAGTCTCAAGCTGTCACCCTGAGTAGAATGCTGTGGTGTCACAGCTCATAGCAACCTCAAACTCTTGGGCTCAAGCAATTCTCTTGCCTTAGTTTTTCTATTTTTAGTAGGGACAGGGTCTCATGTTTTGCTCAGGCTGGTCTTGAACTCATGAGCTCAAGTAATCCACCTGCCTCAGCCTTCCAGAGTGCTAGGATTACAGACGTGAGCTACTGCACCCAGCCGACGTTCCATAATTTTTTTAACACAAACATTGATAAGGGAACTATAACAAAATAAAACAAATGTTCTTCCATTTTATTAATGGTAATATTGCATATCATTCAGTAATTTGTAGGAGTTCTCTTAAGAACCGTTTCAGGTGGTAAGAAAAGATAAATATCACAAATATGCCTTAAGTGAGCTATCGATTTCTATCAGAATTACACAGCACCACCAATCATACTGTTCACATTATATAATAATCACCATCTATGACTGACAGATTTTAAGCACACAATAAACATTTTTTTAAGACGTAAAAGCAGCTTATTAAATGGCAAAAGGTTTCTTCTGTATCATTTTAGCTATTTAAGTACTGGAAACAGATAAAGGGTCTGCAAATACCTTATGACTCATGGCCATGTGCTTCCCATACTGAAATGCCATATCCTGAACCTCAGCATCATGCTTGGCTAATTCCATTGCAGCTTGGCAGCTCTTTGCCAGTAAGGCACCATGGGAGAGAAAAGTCTGCTCCTTCCAAGTCGATATTCCAATATCATCTGTGATAAAATTTTCCTAGAAATGTAACAAAAGCCAAAATAAGAAAGAATTTAGGGGTAATATTAATTGTTTCTGTCTTTGAAGAATAAAGAGTAAGAAATGAACTATTCAAAATACTCAGACTATTGCAATAAGATAGAACTAAAAGATGCTGACCCTCAGTTCTACCTAGGAATAATGTGGGCAAGGAGTCTGCTCATTTAGGGTAATGGGGAAAATGTGGAAGAAATTATTTTTCTGACCACAAAGACACAGAAGAAATGAAGGAAATGTTAAAACAAAATTTATTCTAAGCCAGAGAATTTCTATTAAAATATATTCTATAGGAGAAGCCAAAAAGCAAAAACTTAAAACATCTTAACTAACTCTCTTCTTTATTCAGATCAGTTCTTAAGTGATCATATTCCAAAACACAAGAAGCCTATTGCATTTAACTTATGCAAAAATGTCAAGGGCATAAGGAAGGAACTGCATTTTCTTTCTTTCTTTTCTTTCTTTTTTTTTTTTTTTTTTT